ACCCGCGCCCTCATGCATGAGAGACGGGCCTTTAAACCACTAGGCCACCACGGACTAATAACTCAATAGTTTTTTATTTTATAATAGTAGTATCTAAAAAATAATTTCAGTGTTTAAATTTCTTTTCTTTCAATGTCAAATAATATTGTTTTCGTATTAGTAAGCCAAGATAATTTTCAATCACAATTATATAAAGTGCGAAGTTTTTGATATCAATGTATGTATGCATAGTTTTGAGTTTTTGTTTTGTTTTGTATACGGAAGCTAATCCGTACGGTAATATTAAATGGTAACGGGTATTTACACCTCGTACGGAATTCACAGATTCGGCGGTCGTAACACCGACCGGAATTTCCTGGCGTGTTCCGAGCCTGAGTTTTAGATTATTAATTAATGTTCCCGAAATCCGGTTGATATGAAACAACCTGAATTTTTTAAATTTCATTCAACATTCAACATATATATTAAATTTAGGCTTCTTTCAAAGTGGCATTATAATTCTACTGTGAAATTATGTTCTCAGTAACGAATGAAATTGTTAAATTTAAGTACCACATTTGACTTTCTTTAATCTAACTCTCAATGTTTTTAAATTCCCCAAACAAAATAAAATTTAAGCGAATTAAATTTCTAAACGGAATAAAATTAAAAGCCGTTAAATAACTGAATGTCACAATAAAATTTTATAACGAAATAATCGAGGGAAGGGAACGGCTGTTGAAAAAAGTCGTGGTAAAAGTTAAACCATAAAATGTAACGATTGCACAAGACATTAGCTAATGATTACGACAGCGGACAATCTAATAATATTTATGTCATATTGTGTTTCCAGTAATATAAAGTTATGGTTTCCAAGTCTGTGACCGGTTGCGTCGCTTGTTAGAGCATGCCCGCGCTAACAGTGTTTATTTTCCATCAGTTAACTGCAAATTAACATTAACTTGTCGTTGGTAAATAACTTGAAAGTTGTTTGTACATTTTATATGGATCACAAGCTCTAATCACGTGTTTAAAGCACTCGTCTTCTAGTTATGTAAATGAAATCATTAACGGTTTGACAATTTACTGTCGATGTCGTCCAAAATGTTCCCCATTCGCCCTTTTATGCTCCTTTTTTTCTGTAATTTGACCTTTTAGAAGCGTCTGGACGGTTTATTTATAAGGTTAATGTTACATTGTATAATATTAGCTAATCGAAATTATTTACGCGATGACATTTTTTTTTTGCAATTCAGAAATTAGTTTGTATGAAAATGTTTAGTCAGATTTTAACCTAGTTTTATTATAAATAGAATAATAATGTAATGAAAAATAATGCGTATAATTGATGTATGTAATGATATTTTTATTTGTATCCTAAATAAATATATTAAGTAGTGTATATATGGTAGGTTTTAGTGCGAGGGTCGATGGCATTTAAAGAGGGCATGTGTGTAGTCACCTGGCCCTACACCCGCGATTACCTCCCCGTGGAATTAATAAATATGACTACTGGATCCCCCATACTGACGGGTAGATAAGGTTATATCAACAAATGGGGGAGGATAGTGCGACTACCTTTTAACCGACTTCAAAAAAAACATTTGAAAATTATGCATCTTTATTTTCATGTTGACATTTTAAAAGGAGCAGTTGTTGAAAATAATTTTAACATTGGAATATATTTTATACTACATTAAATTTCATACAATAATTAATGTCCTATTATTATTGTTGTCATTTTCTAGGAAATTCATATTTGTAAACACAGATGTGTTCAGGATTAACTGATATATTCTGTGTTATACGAACTGACGCATTGTAAGATGAGAAGATCCGTTCACGTGCTTGTTTAAAGTCTCGATAATTTGTTATTAAATTAACAGCTCCTATGTCGTTGGGATAAGGATCAAAATGCAATGTGAAGAATCCTTCAAGACGACCAGACGCTTAGGTAAAGTGTGGGTGATTCCAAGGTCTAACAGACAAACGTTGATGTTCGCTTCCACTCGGATTATCACATTAAGTGCTGAGTCTCATGATACCGGTTTGATATCATGATAAAGCAACCGCCTTTATCATCGAGGGTATCGATTATAAGAAGCTGTCTCCAGCACTGGTGCCATCCACGAACAATTTTAATATATTATGTTAGCTTTTGTTTCACGTTTAAGGAACGCTTTTAATCTGTCTCAGATCTCATCACAAATCTGAGATGATGGTTATAAAATTCGCTAAAACTTAAAAGTGCACCACCGCCGCCGGCTAGTCACTAAATAATACTTTTTAATAATAGTCGTTTTCAGAGTCAGTTTGACATATTTTTCCATTCATTCCATGGCCCACTGTTCGTTCCATTGTTGTTGGGAACATTGTCTCCAACCGATCGTGATGGCGGACCTATTTCGGTGCGATGACTGTTCTTTTGATACCGTCATTTGTAAAACTGCTGCTAAATCAAAGTTCATGATTTATACGATCCATTTAAGACATCATACTTATGATCGAGGCTACGGATTGTCTTAGTTTGTTATGTGAATCGAGTAATAAGTAATAGAATATAATAAATATGATTCATACATAAGCCGTGCCTGGCTAGCGCTTATAAAATGATTTCCATCTCAATGTCTGGTAAACATTTTGTAACTGTAAGTTGTATACATTTAAATGTCTGAAAATATAATTTTTCCTGACGTCGCCTTGGATGGTGGCGGCTAAGGAGCGGAGTTTTGCGGTCAGTGGCGGCGCATGCGCTGAAATGTTTGTTTCCTCTACACTTGTTTGTTTTAGCAAAAATTTATGGCTCATGGAAGACATGCTCTGGAACGTGTCTCTCTTTGAACTCCTGTCCTTATTCCTAGCGCTGCCAATATAAATACACCGTCAAGGTTACTCTACATATATTAATGTATAATATACAATTTGCATTCAATTCGATCGCAGTTAACAATTTACATTACACGAACTACGCAGTTCCATTAAATGTTATGTTTGCAAAAACACTACAGTCCAAACAGAAATGATTGGCTTGCATCAATTCTGTTTGGTGTATTCGTTAAAAAATACCTCGCAATGATTTTAAAGCCAACACGGATGTGGAATTCGATTGAAGAGCTCCACTACGGTAATATTGACAATGATTACCGCCGTCGAAACATGCTGATTCCAATAAACGAATATTCCAACATAAAAATGAAGCTGTTCTATCAACTGTCATTGTTTGACTAACAGCTATTAGGGTTAGCTTTTACTGTATTAGCTATAACGTCTTTAACGACAGCTAGTGTGATCGTCGACTGTACAGTTCTATCGCTTACGTCTAACTGTTCTAACGACAAACTTTGAAGTTATCGTTCGTCACTTAACGTTATATATCAGTACAACAAATTAGGTTCCGTTATAACAAGTTATAGGAATAAGTAATATAAAATATATCCCATAAGCTGTAAAATAGCAAAATAATCTCAGAATATGAATTAATATTATAACAATACGGTTATTAAAGTGAAGTTGAGTACGAAAAACCTCAATTAAGCCGTAATCCTCAGGATACTGGAACATAAAATTAAAACGCGTATTAAAAAAGAGTTGCTCCGGCCTAATGGATTCGATAAAATGCCGGCTAACGTACGTATAAACAGTTACGACTGGAGAGATTTAGTCTCATTACTAACTATGAACTATGTTTAAACTCATGTTGTGTAAGAATCATATAAAGAAATATACGGGTAACTCAAAATGAATCAAAATGAATAAAACGTATTTAATTGAACATTACAATCCCAGGCTATTGTTCTTTTTACTATTTCGTGTTATAAGTTTATGAAATTGAATTAGAGAAATGTAAATAAAACAGATTTTTAATGATAATTAGATGTGTATGAAATTAAATTATTGTTTTACATGTTGATAGTTATAATTTTTAACATAACATATTAGTTGAAATATTTATCTTATTCAAACTCATCCAAAAATATCTAACACGTTTCGTTGTTAGAAGAAAATTTTATGTTTACATTGTTGATAGTTTTATTTTTTGCATATAATTATAATTCTGTTCAAACTAATTTCTATTGACGTATAATTTTACTGAAAATTAGGCGTGTTCAAGTACTTTTAAGTTATATTATGAGAGTTCGTCTAGCATAATAAAGTTATTTGTTTTAAAGAGCATGTACCTTACAAAATCTATGTGTTGTTTATAGACTGTGGTATTTCTCGTCAGGTATCGAACACGCCTACACTTCATTTGTTTCTGATGTTTGTTTTCATAATACAATGTGTGCTTGTGATCGTCTGTTCGTGCGGCACTCTTGAGTTTTATGTTTTCATCGATTAAGATTATCAGTAATTAAACTTTCTTCTATATTTATGACTAGCTTCACCCGAGTCGAGTTCGGTTATATCTCGTTTCCAAGAGAACCTTTCGAAAAGTCTGGGATAAAAACTATTATTTGTTCTTTGTCAAGGTCAACTCTATCTCTGTACCAAATTTCATTAAAATCAGTTCAGTGGTTTAGGCGTGAAAGCGTAACAGACAGACCGACAGACTGTGTTACTTTCGCATTTATAATATTAGTAGGGAAGTAGGGATTATTTTTATGAAGTTTGTCCTAATTATTCTGAACAAATGTATGTAAGTTAAGTATCGGTTTCCCTAATCAGGAATTTGAGGGTTGGCCGGTTCATATTATCCGCTTCGCTGAATATTGGCCGATGTCCACATGTATACGACCAGCTCATGCCCCAAGCGTTCTTAATCCATTGTTATTTATAGTCGGAAATGTGTGATTATCTTGATACAGTTATGAAGAATACGGCCTAATAACCGGTTACTTCGCACGCGATGTTCGAGTATACTAGGAAAAACTTATGTATTATTTCGTCAATCGTAGTCCAAGTAACATTTTTAAGTACACACAATGTCACGTTCTCTACAAAAAATTGGATGCTATTGGCCGCATCGGAATCCAATTTTACAACGTCAATACAAAAAACGAACAGAACATGTCTGTTGTTACCAAAACAGCGTGTTGCGGTAAAAGGGGACGAAGTAGCGCTGATTCGTTTCGTTTGATGACTGGTCGGTCGTGATAGTTGTGGACGTGGCTCATCGACTTGATGCATACATCGATGATAGCTCGTGATAGGAAGGGCTTCATTACTATGGCAATAATCACATCTATCTCTTATTAATTTATTAGTTCTGACTTAATTTATTCAGGTTAATCTATAACGGAATAGGAATTAAAATATTAAGATTCATTCTAAATGTTACAACTGAAAAAGATTCATGACGTTTTTTGCTTTTAATACATTTGAATTAAATTGGTTTATACATTCAAATTGAACATGCGAACGAAGTAATTTTTATCTAAATAAAAGATGTAGTAAGCACTTGGTACAAAATGCCTGGAAGCAAGGACTTGTTGTTTTTCTTTGGAGGGTGGTGGAGGAGTGCACTTTTCCGGTATTTGCCGTCTGGAGGTGGAATCCATCAAAGGATTAGGGGCTGTCTCGGGGATGGGATCGGTTTATCGGTATTTTCCGGATGTGGAATAAATTATCCGGCACTTAAACGACATCTCGGAGGTTTTAAACGCTCTGTGTCTCTACACGACTCGAAAGGGATCTCGATTGTTGTCCGCGATTAAACGACGTCGATAACTCGTTTGATCTCGAAAACTTTGGAGACGGATCCCGCGTTCGATGTTCGCAACTTTGAAAGGTAATTAACAATTTTATCACCCAAAAACTCGAGTGTATCGGACTACTTAAAATTGTTTGATCCATAAAACGTAAATATATTGAATCTGGATTACGTTTTCCTAATTCGTCGGTATTAATTTGTAATCTGAGACCCTTGTAGATACTTCGAGCCAAATCCGTTACAAACAGTCAAAAGCGCGACATGGGCACAAATCCCGGCGTTTCAATCAGCGTCGATTGAGGTCCGACTGCATCGGTGGGAGATTATAGGACGCATGACTCAGCAGCATTAAACGGCATGTCATTTCACATCATAAAGAGAGGAATAGGATGTGCTTTTAATAGACTCAGCACTCGAACAGACCTACATTAAACTAAAGGAAAAATGTTATACGTTATTTAAAACGAATTTTACCCGTGTAAATTAAATGGACGGCGAAGAAAAGGCAGAATTAATTTATGGTTTTTTAATTGCTTCGTGTTTCAACGAATGAATAAATATTAAATTGTTTGCTATTCGTTCGTCGTGTATTCACGTTTGCAAATAATATTCATTCAAAATTGTTTCTAGAATCACATTTGTGGGTTGGGAGTGAATTGTCATTTGAGAAACACTTTTTCAACTGATGTCTTCGGCCTGTCATTTTAAGTATTCTTGATTTTTCCTTTGTTACAAATTGTGCTGGGATCAAAGCGATTCTAATCAAGAAGATTCTCTTATGAAGCGTTTTCATTAATTCACATTTTTACACTATAATGCTAACACGCGGCGTTGCTTTTGTTGAATGAAATAGAATTTATTATCATTCATATATTTTTATTACATTGTAAAAAAAAATAACCGACTAGTTTATACATATTTTTTATAAATATTTCCATTGGAATTGTTCAAAATGAAAACAAGTAACATTTTGTTTTTGTCTATTCAATCTACACAAGTTTAATTTCCGTTCAACCTAACAAAAATAACATTCTGTACTGAACTAGACTATTATATATGCATGTGTTTATACACGTGAAATATTTACAAATAATTGTTGAATGGACTGTTGGTAGTCTTAAAAACTGTACGTTTTAGTTAACTTTCGTTATGTAATACATTCAGTTTTTTTGACAACCTTTGTTTTAGAAAACCATTCTTTTTCTATTTTGTTCTCTATTTCATCATATTTGTTACATTTTATATATATAGTTATATAACACCTAGGTGCCTCATAATTATATTCAACTAGTGAATGAGTTCTCTAATTAAGTGTATGCAATTCAGTGCGCCGGCGCAGGAAAGTCAGATGCCCATCCTAGTATGGAAGCAAGGAATGTTACGCATGTGTAACATGGCTCGGGAGGTAGAATATAATGATATTATTATATGATAAATATTATGTTATTTAAAAATTTTGTTTTTTGATATTAACATGTCTTTTGTTTTGTTCTTTTCTCTTTAGAAAATCTGATGATTTATAATAGTGAGAAAAAAAATGCATGTTACATTTATGCAGAGTTTTTTTGAAGTCATAGTTACATTTACATATATATTTATAATATATATATTTATTTATTTATTGATATTGTCACAGCCCTAACAGTGTAATGTATTCCGACCGCGTCGCCTGCGCATTCTTTGTTTGTAAGTCTTGCATTACGTTAATAGACGTGTATTGAAAACTGTTAGCCAATGTTATATCTCAATAAGTGCAGAACACGCATGAGACCCTACATTTATTATAGCAGAACATACATACTTAAACTATAACCAACATAAGACGTAAGAGATTTTTAGTTAAATTCCACTTTTATGTTAGGTAATTCGTTCCATCAATAATATTATATCAAACACTAGTTTTAGCACTCGACTTGGTTCGCGTTAATTTCAGTATTAGTAATAATTATATGTATAGCTGACCGGGCGAACTCTATTCCGCTCTACAGGCCATAAATAACCCGATATTGGAATTTATTATTATTGTAATTTTTTTTTCGAACAGAATTAAATATCCTATATCCGTCTCCTGGTTCTAAGCTATCTCTCCACCAATTTTCAACCATATCCCTACAGCCGTTCTTTCGTTATAAATAGTGTAACTAACACGACTTTCTTTTATATATAGATGTATGTTCCCGTGTGAAATGTATTATGTTGTATATTCAGCATTAATTAATATCCTTGTGTCGCTGGTCCTAACGCCAGCTACATACATCTCCCGAGGGTATCTAACAGCCAAGTTCATAGTTTACAAACAAGCTTGTTCTATTCGAGAACTTACTTCGTTAATACGACTACAACCTCACGTGTATGCGAAACGAATTGATTCGTCTTTTTTCTGTTTCGCTTTTAACATAAATTATATTAATGTCATACAATTTATATTAAATTTTTAATATAAATTTTAGTATATTTTATATTTATTCAGAATATAGATGTACTTTTTCTGTTTTCTTGTTAACCATCTCAGCGCTATATGTTCTTTCGATCTTTTAATTCTCTAAGGATTTTGTTCGCCGTTAAATCCCTGTCAATAGTCCATATAGCCGTGAAAATCCGAGAGAAAAAGCTAGTCTCTGGTGTAATTACAAGAGCGTTGTATGTGCTGTGAGAGCCCGATAGATATTTATGTGCGGTTTATTGATCAACATCAAAGGGGCGAGTTGTTAGGAACTATGTTGAGGGAATTTGTCGGCGCGGAGTCGGCTAAGTGTCGTTAACGAAACATATTAGAAATTAGTTTTGTTAGTTACCCTAATCGACGGTACCTTACATAGATGTTACCCCGGACGGAGATTAAGAATTATAAGACTTCTAACATAATTATAAACAGAAATATACTAGAAAGGTCAAGCGTCATTTGATGTGAATATTTTGAAGCATCGCCTAAAGGTCGTTATTGGAGAGGTGAAGCATTGAAAAAGGAGTACGTAAAGTCGGCTGGTTCAGTAATCCAATAGTAAAAGATAAAAGAAAGGAAATAAAAGGGAGGTTTTAATGGAATTAAACTGGCTAGCGGTGTGTACTCGCCGCTCCGGCTAGGACGCTGGAATGTCTTTGTGTTAATGTTTCCTTTTTACCGACGTGTAATTTAAAAGTAATCAATTTAGTAACGTTAACTATGTCATGTAATTAACTCATTATGTCACCAAGAGTTCATATGTTTTTTCCGTATGATTCATATCAGTTGTCAGGCTAATTGTATTTGTAAGATATATCTGGATGTGTTTGACCTGCGGATCTTAAGTAGTGATCTCGAAGCCAATAGGCCAATCATCTTATTAGGGTTGGCAACATTTGAACATAAAAATTATTGCCAAAGATTAATATTTGTAATAGATAGAGTATTATATAACCGTTGTATGATTGCAATGATTTAAACTCACTGATTAGATGTTATGTGGTCGATAGTTAAATTTCTATTTGTTGTTATTATAGTATAATCCGTCCAATCAAACTTCGGATAAAACAGTTTATTGTTGTAACGCGGTTATGAATATATTACATCTCGACCACTAAAACATTATAGCAAATATTATTGAAGCATTTATATATGATCGAATTTAATTATTATTATATAATAAACATATATAATGGGGAGTGAAGAATCCGTCACGAGCTGAATTCAATCATGAGAATTCTTAGTATTTGGCATTTTATAATTACAATTTTAATAGAGTAAGAATTTTTTAATGTTATTAATAATGATGGTATATTTTTTGTATTGTTTATACTAGTGTAAGTCCAGCCCTGTATTTGTGATGCACCTGTCTCCATCGCTCAGTGGCGCTGCAACATCTGTCGTTGAGTTTCAGCCGGTTCGTTTTTTGTCCCTAATTGCGTACTAACGCTCCGATGGTGTTAAATGTTAATAAACTTTGAGAATACTATCGAAAACACTGAACTGAACATATTTTTTGTTATACTTTTAAAATAGTATCAAAATATTTATATGTATATATCATCAGCTTCAGTATTGTCAATACGTTTGTCTGTTTAATACACTTTGTATTTTATTTTAAACGAAAAGGAAAACATCGTGAGGAAACCTGGACTTATAATTTCACAATTATAAGTTTGATATCACCAACCCGTCTGAGCAAGTGTGGCGATTAATACTCAAACCTTATCCATGTGAGAAAGAGGCCTTTCCTCAGCAGTGGGTTCTGATAGGCTAAAAAAAAATATTTTCTATTTAATACTACGTTGGGCCGACAATCTTCAACAAGTTCTTGTCAATAGATAGATATTAAAGAAATATTTTATACATATATATAATAATAAATGCTTGTCCGTCTGTATGTACTTCTATTTGCTCCATTAACGCGTGATGCAATGCATCATCGGTATAATGCGGCGTATTAAGATGAATCACTTCAACTGTTTTTTTATAATTTTCGTCTCTCCTCTCATTCAAAACATATTTTATAATGACGTCAATACATTTGTTAAATTTATTCCGTTTGATGTTGAAATAGCGTTCTGTAATTTTATCAACATTGTATCAGTGAGAGGAGCAAAAGTAATAATATTGTGACGTGTCTCTTGTGACGACATTAATTTAATATACGCAGCCTGTTATAAAGGATACTATATCTTCTTCTTTTCCTGACAATTTCCCAGCTTTAGCCAGGGTCTGCCTTACATATTGTGAATAGTTTTGGCTAAATTTTTTTACGACCGGCCGCCTGCCTCACATCAACCGTTTTTGGGAGTGCATTAATCAGTGATGTCTAAATACTCTTAGAAAGTAAATATGACTTGGGAAAATTACATTGGTACTGGTCAGGATCGAACTGGCGCCCTCATGCATGAGTGGCGGGCTTTTTGACCACTAGGCCACCACTGATTCTAAAGGATACTATATTTTATACACATTTACTTTGGGCTCAGAATAATGTATGAAGTGTTTTAACACAATAGATATGGTATCAACGGGCAAGTATATTTTGTATTCCGCGT